CTAGACCGAGGCTAGTATTGGATACTATGTCCTTAAAATAGATTCACTCCTCTATGGTGCTAACGGACTCAGTGACGTCTATCTCCCAGGATACAACGGTCTTCATCCACTAGTAGCAGTATTACAAACTCGTGAATACGGCGAACCTCCTCCGTGTAATACTCTCTCTGACTCAAAAATACATATATATATATATATATATATATATATATATATATATACTATATAAATGCTGAATTAGGTGCAATCCGAACCAAATGGTTCGGACCAATCTTAATATGGCTCGATGAAATTGAATTAGGGTCTAAGTGGTTCGGACCACTTAACCTATGGTTTGAACCCACTTGGGTTGGGTTCAAGTCTAGAGAGGGAGATAGAAGAAATTGAAAAAATGAATGATTTGCAAATGATCCAAAAGGGGGTATTTATAGGCAATAAGGTGCCTTTTCGGATTGGGTGAAACCCTTTGGAAAAAACTAAAAAGTAGTTTTTAATTAACGTGCCTTTTCGGATTGGGTGCAACCTTTTGTAAAAAAAGCTAAAAAGTAGTTTTTAAGTAAGGTGCCTTTTCGGATTGGGTGTGTCTCTTCATCATGAGACACAACCATTTATATGTGTCTCTTCACACTGGACACATCCACTCCAATTAGTTGCAATGGTTCACATGGTGTCTGTTCACCAATAGACACATCCACTCCAATAGGTTGCAATGGTTCACATGGTGTCTGTTCACCAATAGACACATCCACTCCAATAGGTTGCAATGGTTTACATGAATAGTTCGTCTGTTGGTTTTGAATAGCAACCCTTTAGAAACAGATGCAACTCCTTTAGAAATAGATGAAACCCTTTGGAAAAAAACTAACTTTTAATTTAAATTCAAAAACTAACCACCTATTTAAATAAGCCTATCCCAAAATTAAAGGCCCAATCCAATATATCATTTAGTAAAAAGAATAATTGGACTTTACAATTAGGCCCAAGCCCAAGCCTAAGCCCAAATTTAGCTTATTTAAACTTCAATTAGTTTCAACATTTTTTTCCATGTGGGACAAATACTTCCCACAATTTGTATACCCATTTAGGCTTATCAAAACACCACACTTTGGAGCTAATTTCTCATTCACCTGGAAACGGATTTGAGAAAGTAAATATACCACGTTCATCTCCTTACGGAGAGAAACGCGCTCGTCTAAAGATCTACAAAAAATTATTAGCGAAATCTATTTCAAATCTCATCTAAAGTTTATGTTTTTAATGCCCCCGTTTCCAACAGAAACCAACATTAAACCATCATCTTTTTAGATTGACAAAAAGTTTTCAAGACATATAACTATGCATTTGATCAATATAATCACCTAAGTCATAAAGTAAATTTCAATGAATCTTCCTACAACTCACACAACATACATATAGCTCATGATAAACCCTAAAACTCAAGGTAACTCCTAGGTTACAATCATACTACACCCCCTATCTCACATTGTGGTGAAAACCTTAAAGACACCAAATAAAACCGTTCCAAAAGCGACGCAACTTTGGGGTTACGTTGGGGATAACCCAAAGAACAACAAATCCTCTTCCGGCAACTCAAGAATCTAAACTTAGGCAAATATCTAGATTTCAAAAACGATCCCAACAAAAATCCAATAGGATGGAAAGATGGCCGTTGGTAAGGCCGACACAAATTCCTTCGATGGTAAGAGATGAATCAAAGGTCCATGCCAGTCCACACTCAAATGAAAATAGGGACATGGGTTATGTAGCCCTTAGTGTCCCCAACAACACTTTCTTTTATGGCAAGTCAATAAGGTGAGTGGAAAGTGAGGTAAATCAAGCTTTAAACTTGGCCAACAATGGTGGAGGGTTTGAGAGAGGAAAAAGATGAAGATAAAGATTAAAGGAAAAGATGAAAGACAAAAGGTGATACAATCTCTAATACAATGTCTTACACTACCTCACAAACACACACACACACACACTTTAATCTTAGCCCTCCACATGTCATCATCCTACTCCACCACATGTCCCAAACAAATGCCAACACTTGGTCTTATCAACAAGTGACACCTTGCACAAATTTACCTTAATTGCACAAAAGTCCCTCCTAGAATATCTAAAAAGATAATTGCACTATTTCCCCAAATGAAAATATCTCCAAAAGATATTCGCACAAAGGCCCCAAAAAATGAAATGTCAACCAAAAGAAATCGCACAAATAACCCTAACTAATAAAAGGCAAAATAAAAGCAAGTACAATACAAATCTCAAATGGAAGAAGTGTCGGGAATTCTTCCCGAGCACTCGACTTAACCCGGTTCGACAAAATCCGAACTTGGAAAAATAACAGAAAAAGAAAATCCATAAAAATGGAAAAGGAACCGGTCTCTACAGTCTACAGGTGCGACTGTCTTCATTTTATACTAAAAGGTAATGTAGTCGTGTCTACTTGTGCGGATGATTGTGTTTTCTAGATGCCATACTTGTAATCCATGTTTTTTGTGCTTTCTATAGGATTTTGATCATCATATGATGATTTTAACGATACGACATCGTCAAATGCCATTTAGAATGTTATTTGATGTGATTTTGACTGTTTATCCCTATAGGGCACGAAAAAATGCGTTTTTGGGGTCTATTTTAAGATTTTTGGACTTTCATGGCGCTTTGGTGGGTTGCATTTCCTAACTTGACATTATAATCAATGCGTTGCAATGCGAAGTTACTATTTTACCCTTTTATTAAATTGGGGCAATCGAGTGCTATGGACATCTGATTGAGTTGAACCTTAGATGCATTTTTAGGTTTTTGGGTGCTCTGAGAATGATGGCGGGATCATATTTTTTATTCGACGATCGGGTGTTTTTTTTTCCAAAGAATAGCCGGAGGGGTCGAGGCAAAATGTGATATTTAGAGTCATGCACATAAATTATAACACATAATCAATAGAACATTGACTCAACTTTAGAGTAAAACAATACAAATGGTTGGCTATATATGTACACAAATCATGTAAAACATGTGACGCTAGAATGAACTCAATTTTTTTTTTTTTAATTATAAAAATTGAGATCGGTTTTTAATTTTATTTTATTTTGACCCCATAAATTTTTTTTTTCCAATAAACGGTCAACTCTATATGTTGTGAGCAGATGGAACTTTGATGGTTTCGCTTTAAAGATTGGGTAAATACTTTAGTTATAAAAATATTGAGACCAACAAGCTAGGGGTGCACAAAAAAACCGTGGAATCGGAACCATGGGAACCGGAACTGTTCCAGTTCCGGTTCCGATTCCTAAAATGAGGAACCGTTTAGATTTGGTTTGGTTTCTGTTCCAGTCTCACGATTCGGTTCCGGAACCGACCAGAACCGTAATATATATATATATATTTGTGGGCTGTGGGTGACTAGGCCGATTCTCACAGTTCTGGTTCCAGTTTCGGTTCCTAAAACGAGGAACCGTTTAGATTCGGTTCGGTTTCTCTTCCGGTCTCACGGTTCAGTTCCGAAACCGAATCGAACCGTAATATATATATATATATATATATATATATTATAATTATGTTTGTGGGCTATGCCGTTGTGGGCTGTGGGTGACTAGGCCGTGTCTAGCCTATAAGTTTCAAAGTGACCACATCCACACATTCATTTCAGAATTCAGATTATCATATATTGGATAAAATATTAAAAATCAAAAGTCACAAAACTCTCAAAACCTAAACTTAAGCTTTAGGTTCACCACTTTACCTAACCTCTCAAACTCACTCGGTGGCTTCGCCTCCCCTCCTCTCCTCTTAGCCTCTCGGCCCTCTCATTGGTCTCTATCTTCTCATATCACTGGTCGGATCGGTCAAATCGGTCTCTGTCTCAGCCTCTCCTCTCAGCCTCTAATTTAATTAAGTCAATTTTAGGAGGGTTTTCTGTCGATTTTTGGCGAGGGAAGACTCAATCTAGTAAAATGAGGTTCGGAACGCGGAGACTAGAGAGAGTGTTCGAGAGAATCGGTGAGAACGTCAGCGTTTGTAACCGATGATCGGCGACTGGAGCCGATCGGAGATGGAGGCAGTGCTTGGAAATCGACAACTTTTTCCGATTCAATCACTTCTACTCAGATCGGTCTCTATCTCAGCCTCTGATTCAATCACTTCTTCTCAGATCTTCGTTTCTCCTCTCAGCTTCTCTTTTCAATCTCATTTTGGTCAACGGTTTCATGGAATCGAACCAGAACCCAACCGTTTTCACGGTTCGGTTCCGGTTCGATTCCACTGCTCACAGTTCCGGTTCTGGTTCCATTTTTTAGGAACCATTCATACAGGTTTCGGTTCCGATAAGAACCATAGCGAACCAAACCATGTGCACCCCTAGAACAAGCATATTAAGTTGAGTCAAATATACAATCAAATTGGCTTGAAGGCACACACAACCCAAATCATGTGAATGTATATAACCATTACTGAGTCATAGTAGAATAGATAATTATGAAGACAAAAATATTTATACATAATGAAAACAAAATCATAAAGTAAAGGCATAAAACAAAAAATAAAAAAAGTAAAAGAATGCATAAAATAAAAGAAAACTAGGAGGGGTAGTATAAATGTCTGTCACATTAAATTTTGTTTGTAATATTATTTAAATATAAATAAAAAAGTAAATTACGCTGAACTCTCCTAAACGCCTAAATAACAGGAAATTCTCTTATAATTTAAAAAGTAATACTCACTTCCTCTGTTATTATTAGTTTTTTGAAGTTTTGAAATGACATTTATAACCGTTGTACAATATATGAACACAAATATTTTTAAAGCGTTCTAAGTTTGAAGTTGTTTTCATTTCAGACATGACATCAAGAGACAATAGTAACTTATTTTATGACAAGGGGAGTTTAGTGTTATTTGACCAGAACTATAGAGGTAATCAGTGTAGTATTATTTTTGAAATTTATTTAGTAATTTTACTCGGAAGGTCATTGTAATTGGGTTTTATGAGCTGGAGTCTCTCCTATTCTTTTTATAATTTTCCAACGCGCCGATCTAATACACACAGTTTCACAAAGCTGAGGGGAGAAGTGAGGGATTCGTTGAGACTAGAGAGAGAAGGGTTTCTGTGCACCTGCAATGGCTTCGAAAGGAGGTGGAGGAGCAGGAACGATAGGAAGGATTCCGGAGATAGAGAAAATGGGCGTGGATCAGCTCAAAGCTCTCAAAGAACAGGCCGATCTCGAAGTCAATCTCCTCCAAGACAGCCTCAACAACATCCGAACCGCCACGGTTCGTCTCGAGATCGCTTCCAACGCTCTCCAAGATCTCTCTCTGCGTCCCCAAGGTTTGACCCCTTTTCTGTTTCTCTATTACTGTCCGTGTATAGAATTATTTTTTATTTATTTTTTATTTTATTATTATTTTTTTTCTTCCTAGTTGGTACTCACACACACATGAGGTTTAATAACGAGAAGTAGGAGCTTGGTACCGCTAGGCCACTGGCCTGTTGGTACCCGTGTATAGAATTTTCATGACAGGAGTGGTGGTGGTTGGTTGGTTGTATTCTTGATTTCAGGGAAGAAAATGTTGGTGCCTCTTACGGCGTCCTTGTATGCTCCTGGTACGCTTGATGATGCGGACAAGGTCCTAGTCGATGTTGGCACTGGATATTTCATTGAGGTCAGTTGGTATACTTGAAATTTGTTTGTTGATTCATTTTTATTTTATGTGCTTCTCTTTCAAAGCAAATTGTCTGCAAGAAATCAATTTGGGTTTTACATAACAATTTCACTAAGATGTTAAAGGGATGTTTAATTCAAAATTTCCTATTTTCAGTAATATGTAAATTCTTCTCGTAGTGTGTTTCAGAAACACTTTTATTATTTACAATTCTTTTTAGAAGTCTTGTGGTCCTTGTGGACAAACATGAAAAATAGATATGTTTCTTCTAGGTTTTGTTTGTGTTTATATTTTTATAGATCAGATATGCATTTTGCACGACAGAACTCATTTTTGTAATAAAAACCAAATGGGTTTTAAGGGAAGTAAATTGGTAAGGGTTTAATGTTATGAGAGAAAAGAGAGGTTTTCAACAAGCACAAGGCCACAAGGAGTAGCAATATTTGACACGACACACGACACGGGATAAGTTTGTTTAGACAAATCTTGTTTGGGTTGAAATCGTGCCGACCTGAATTGACACGGTAATTAAACGTGTCAGGTTCGTTCGTGTTTGACCCATCAATCCATTTATAACCCATTTAACTAAATATGTTAAATAAATAACCCGTTTAACTAAGTGTGTTAAATAAACGTGTTGTGTTCGTATAAAAAATGACTTAAACGTGTCTTGTCGTGTCGTGTCAAGTCTTGACTTATTTATTAAAGAGGATACGCTTGTCATATCGTGTTACCCATGTAATATTTGGGTTGTGTTCGTGTCGATCCATATAACAGGATACCCAAGTCCTAACACGACCCGCCAACATGAATTGTCACCCCTACAAGCACTAAAGCCTATGTTCCAAAAGAAGGCTGATGAGGAGGGCTACATACTTTTATTGTAGCAAGAAGGGCCATTCAAAATTGCAATGGTGGTTATGATCATTTGGAACAACTCAATGAATTTAGTAGATTCTTTTCGGAGCCTCCAATGGCCATGCTGTTGATTTGCTAGCTTGTACAAGTAGAACCAAAAGGGGAAAACAAGGGTCATTGAAGCATGTTTTTATTGATCAATCAATATTATCTCCCATATGTTAATTGAGAAAAAGATATCTATCCATGAGTGCAAATTTAAATTCTTTAAAAATTTATGAAATCTCAAAAGGAAATTGAATTCCGTGATTCAAAAACAAATTGCTTTGAAAAATGAGTTTTCTAATTAGTAAATATGGAAGCAATTCATAGTGATGTGGTGATATATTTATATACTCGAATTTCTTTCAAAAATGGACTTGGTATGGCATTTTTATGTATTTTTTTCTTAATAAGACACAACTCAATAAAGCCTTTTTTTAACTTTTTGGGGCCAGCTACATGTGTCTTGTTTCTCCAGCATATTTTTCTTTACTATATCAACCTATATTAATTTTGGTCTTCCCTCTCAGTACCATTACCCTCACTTCGAGTCACTTACTCTTTCTTACTGGTGCAATTATTGGTCTTTGCTGCACAATGCATATGGCCAAACTATCTTAACTCAATTTCTCTAACTTAGCAAGTTTATGCATACTTGTCTCATTTTTTTGTACTCAATTTAGAATAAAGACAGTTGTATACTCTATACTTCGTAATTTCTTAACTTCCTTTTTTGCATATGTATTTTTTTCAAAAGTTTCTTCATTTCTAGTATTTATGCCAAAATACATAGCTCTTCCTTATTAACTTCCCATTAGGTTTGAATAGGATTGGGACAAGTTGGTCAGTTCCAGAAATTAAGAGCTTCTAATTACAAGAAGTTGTATTTTGTTTGTTTAACTTGAATTAGGGTCCCTTAAACTTTACTATATAGCAATTGTGAGAGCCTTATTTTACTCAATGCCTAGAAAGGGGAGATAGTGGAGGGAGTTGACTTCATGATACTACAAGAGGTCGTATTGAAGGAACAATGTTGCTGAAAATCACTGTAGAGAGATGAATTTTGTGGAGATAGGTTTGTTGACCGGATGGCTATTAGACATGTGGTGACAAGAGTCAGACATAAGTTTTGTGGTTCTTGAGCAAGAGTCTCTAATAATAAGTTGTGCTTCTCTCTTGCATAGTTGATTGGTTAGTGTTTGGACTTTGGACTAGGTTCAGTGGATTTTTCCTAGTTTTGTTTCCCATTAATAATTGTGGCCTTCTTTGTTCCTTGGATTAATTTCAATGACACCCCCTTAGGTTTGGTTGAATTTCACATGGAGACGTCGTTCAAAAATAAGTATCACTTATGCCCAAAATCACTTTTCCGTCACTTTTACCGTTAAAAAGGTGTGAAATGACAATTTTACACTCATTTTTTTAATCCACTTAAATAAAAAATATTAGCAAACTTAAAGGACAGAAATGCCCTCATTTATTGATTGATCCAGTTTCAAGAGTAGATGACTAACTGAGGTTTAATGAATTGGCTGAAAGTTCAACTCCATGCATTAGAAGAGAGAGAAGAGAAGAATGTGATCAATGGGAGTGAATGAGATTGAACACAGAGGAACAAGACACAGATATGGTGAAGTTTGGAAGTGGGTTTAAGGCAGTTTGTGGCACTGCATGTGGTTTATTTATATATAGACACACAAAAGAGGGAGATCGACGAGACTGAGACAGAAAGAGAGAGAAAAGAGAGAGAAAAGTCAATGCCCATCCCATCACCTTCCCAGCAGCTATCTACTTTATGTACAATGCGAAAGTCATGGACACTTATAATGGTTAAAATTGCAATACTCATCACCACCATTACCAACTCCTCACTTTGTACAAGTAAAGAAAAATACTACTAAAATCACTCTGTTTTTGTTTTTACTGAAAAGCCTTAGTGATTTGTTAAATTAAATAAATAAAAAAAATGTATTTAGTGTTTTATATGTTAATAGGGCTTCCTATATTTTCCAAATAAATTCGAATTGAATTTATCTTGTATATACAACAATACAGTTGTGGAACCAGACACTTGTTTTAATCACAATAGATAATAGGGTTAATTACAACTACACCCCCTGAGGTTTGATGTATTGACAGTCATATACAACTTAGTTATTTTTTAGACAAAGACACCCCCTGCAATAATTTTGATCCAAACAAGGCCTTAAAACGTTAGAAAAGGCAAAATTGCCCTTCAATATTTAATTCATTTTTATTATAAAATATCAAAACTCATGAAAAGTCAAATTTGCCCTTATATATATACATTATTACCCTTATATATATATATATATATATATATAGAAGAGCAGCCAAAGGTGTGATGTGTTCAGGTGGCCTAAAGAGACTACATAGCAGATCTTTTTTATATGTACAGGAAAGAGGAGGTTGGGTTAGGAGTACTTAAGAGCAAAAAGCAAGCTGAGAGAGAAGTTAAGAGCTCAGCTTTATCGAAATCCCAAGTATGGCAATCACAACATCATCACAAATCCCTCCAGTCCACCAAAGCATCTCACCATTACAACTTCATCACCTAAGCACTGATGAAATCCAACTATAGCAGCGTCCTCTTGAATCACCATCAGAGTTGCTAGCCGCCACCACCCTCACCGACGCCGCCCCCACTACGCTGCCACACCCAATTCCCCAATCTCTCTCCACCCACCACTGCAAAGCCACACAAAACCCAACAAGCATGAGATGAAGTGGAGGAACGGTGGAAATCGATCTCCTTTCAGTCCGGTGATTATGCTCCACGGACTGTCTGATGGCGACACCGTAGACGGAGGCGGCAGCGGTGGGTTTTAGATGATGGTGCGGGTTCAGGCAGAGGCCGTTGCCGGAGAGTATGCTGGAGTTTTTGTTGGCCAGAGGCCGTTGCCGGGTAAATCAGAATTTGAGCCGGCAGTGAGGAATCAGTCGCAATTCTGGCAACAATTTTTTGGTTCACGATTTGCGATTCATGCAACGGCTCGATGGCATCCTCGTCAGTCCACATCAATTGAAATAACCTCCGAGACTCTTCAAGGCCAACGGCTTCTTCTGTTCGACATATATATATATATATCGAAGAGATTTATATATATATATAAATCTATGTGTTTGTGCAATTGGGATTTTTTTGTGGGTTTTTAATGAGTTCGATTGCTGGATTTTTGTGGGTTTTTCATGTGTTGAATTGATGGGTTTTGGTTATGGTGGCAGAGGTTGCAGTGGTGGGTGGAGAGAGAGAAAGAAGGGGTGGAAAGTATTGGTGGTGGCGACTGGTGGGTGGTGGTTGCGGTGGTGGCTACGGTAGGGTATTTTGGTCTATAAAAAAATAATTGTATTGGATAAATTGGTAATTGAATGTGTCAAGGGCAATAATGTCAATTCAGGATCATTGGGGTGTCTTTGTTAACTTTATCAAACCTAAGGGGTGTTATCGTTCAAAAATAGCCCAGCTTATATATCACTGTCATTGCATCAAACCTCAGGGGGTGGTGTTGTAATTAACCCTAGATAATATTACATGGTACCAACAAATTCAACCATGATACGTTAGCATACATGCCTTAAATGCACTTCTAATTTCACCATATCTCTCTGTCCTGTTCCTCTGTGTTCAATCTCATTCACTTCCATTGATCCCATTCTTCTCTCTCTTCCAATGCACAGAGTTGAACTTTTAGCCAATTCATTAAACCTCAGTTAGTCAGCTACTCTGGAAACTGGATCAATCAATCTTCTCTTTTCCTTGAACATACCTTTAGAAAGAAGATTGTTAGTCTTTCACCGGCATGCTTCAGTTCAGTTGAATCTCAGTTCCAACGTGCCTTAGTCCAGTGAACTTTTGTTCGGTGAGAACATTTGTTATATATCTATACATATATACACTGACTGAGCTTGAGTATAATGAAGTATAAGTGAAAGCCACATCTTGATTCTTCTCTAGTCCACACATTAGTTTATTTATATATCAGAATCAATTGTTAGAATGGTTGGTTAGAGTGAGCGAGGGAGAGAAAGAAGGATAATATATGTGTGTGTGTGTATATATATATATGTTAGAGAGAGAAATAAAGGATTTGGTCAGTAACAATTAAATGGGTCTTGTGGGGATAGTTGTGTCATTTAATACATAAAACATGCCTTCAGTAAGTCAATACAAAGTAAAAGGGTAATAATGTAATTTTATGTTCCAAAAGTGTTCTGACACAACTGAAAAGTGATGTTTGGGGTGTGAATGAAAAACGGACCAAATGTTTGTAATGTGAGTGATAGTAATTTTCGAAAGGTGTCTTAGTGTGAGATTTATCCAAATCTCAGGGGATGTCGTTGAAATTAACCCTTGTTCGTTTTTGTTTGATTGATAGTTGGACCTCGTATTGATGAATAATTGAGTTGCATTAAATTGGTAATTAGTTAACCTTCAGTCATGTATTGGACAAATGACCAGTCACGCCTCTATTTAACCGTCGTTCCATCTGGGTTCTTCATTTGCACAACTCTCACATGGTTTGATAAGAGTATGATTTTATTGATTGATCACTTAATTGCATTTTGAACTTTTAATTAAATGAGCTTTAACACCTTGACCTGAAGACTTAAAGGTGAAATTAAAAAGAAACACAAGATGTGGAGCTAGCAAATTTTAATCCCAACCTTCTGAGTGGGTTAATTTTTTTTGATCCTTAATGGTTTCAGATTCTCTTATGAACCAGCTCTTGATGCTAAATTCTTTGTAGGATGCTAGATGACAGGAGAGGAACTTCCCATGAATTATGGCTGACATAAACTGGTGGATACAGAAACCAATCCTATTGTTTGTGCCGTTTGAACCCATGCACGTGTTCCTGACCTTTGTTATTTTCTGAGATAGACGAGAAGTCTAAATGAAATGGTATAGAGCCCATTTTGAATCTTGGTCATTTGGCTGCAGAACTAAACAACTTGAAGTTGTCCATCTTGTTTAAATTGAAGAGCTTACTATTCTCTTCAACAGTTGAAAAGTAAATATATAAATATTTATACATATGAACATAATTGTACTTCCTTTCCTAAACTGGAGGAGTGAAAATAGAAGGAAAAAAAAAGGTATATTTGTGTTTTTTTGTTATATACACATTGTGGAGGGACTAAATTACAAAGGCTCAATGATTGTTGCTTCATTTTTGTAGTCTTGGTATCTTAGAGAACCTAATTAGTTGGAGAATTGCCGAAAAGAAAATTGTGATGCTTTTTTCTTACTTTTCTGGGAGGATATAACTGCTGTAGTCTTTTCCCTTCGTGCAAAAGGAATGCAGTGTCTTTTGAAGTTTCTCAGTATACTCAATACTGTTGACGTACTAATCATCACTGTGCTTGGAGCTCAAGGAGGTTAATCTTTTGATGCTTGAGGTTTGTTATCTAGGGTTCCCCCCTATAACTCGGATTTTCACTATATGCACGGAATATATTTTAAGAACATTCAGGTCCTGTTTCTTCTTACTGGAATCCATTTGGCTGATGTGATCATGTGATAAAAATTGAAATTGATAATTAAAAGCTTTCTGTAATTTTCTGTACGTGGATTTAAAATATAGGGCAAGGTAGTCTACAATATGCAAAAAGAGTCATATCCTCGTATTTACCATTATATTGGGTTTTAAGAAGTGACCGAATTGTGGAAATATACTAATTTTATTGCTATTGTCTAATTGTCTTTTGACTTTTCTGGCACTGAATGGTGGTTCAAGTATCCTTTCTGGACCTTGTCCATGTTGATTTTATGTAGTAATATGTGGTTAGTAAATATTACTCCACAACTGATCGTAACTCCATCACATGTACCCTTTTGAAAGTCTGATTATGCCTAGAGTTCATGGTGTATAATGAGATGATCTTGTTGTAATATGAGGCTTTTTATGGATTTGAACTGCACTTGTAATAAAATAGGCAAATGAGAGAAAAATGGTGCAGCAAATATGTTGTTTCTTGTCATCTCACATGCTGAAAATTGTAATTATGCTTTACTGTTTTGCCCTTATCAGATACTATACCCAACTTATTTTTGGTAATTATGTGTTTTGAATCAGAAAACAATGGCGGAAGGAAAAGATTATTGTGAGCGTAAAATCAACTTGCTGAAATCTAATTATGACCAACTTGTTGAGGTATGTTTCCAAAACACATTCAATTTACTTTGCATATTGATCGTCATTGTAAACATTTGGAGGAAGACATGCATTTATGTTAAACGAAGTGAAATGTAAAGTAGAGACTTCACACTGTCCTCCCTTTCTCCTACAACCCCGCGTAACAGCGTTACCCCTCTCTCCCAACAAGCACCCATAAGAAGAGCATTTATGATTCCTCGGCTTTAAATTCAAGTTGCTGACCTTTGGGTTAGGCTGTAAAAAAAATCAGTAGGCCACTTTTCTTTTTCAACTCAAGTCAACCTTCTTTTTTGGTTCTGTGATGTGAGATTTTGGACTTCTTGGGCCAGCTTATGCGAACCAAGCATGTTGGACTTGCCCAGCTTCCCCACCTCATGATTATTCGGTCTTTGGCTTGTATGAATAATCCCAGTTTCCCTTTGCTGATTCTGTGTGCTGAATTTACGGCTTGACCAAACTTCTGATTAACAAGCTCAGTTGTTTTCGGCCTTTCTAAATGCTTTGATTTCATGAATTCTCTGCCTCGGGTCAACTTGAGTGAGCCCACCCATATTCAACCTATGGCCCAGCCCATCCCAATTTAAATTCACCCTTCCCACCTCACGTGACCCACCCTCTAAAAGTCTTCAATCCCCTCATGCCACATATAGGGCTAGTTGTTCCCCATCTATTTGAGCCATTGGAGATTGGCGGGCCACGTACCCCACTTTCCTTCCTCTCCCTTCCACATGGCCCAAGTGTGTGTGTTACACTTTGTCCCTCACCTCCCATTGGCCCTTCCTCTGCAACTTGATTTTCAATCCCCTCTCCACATTATCCCCAACTCCTTATCCTTCCTCCTCCGTTATTGGCCCTTTGATATCAACAAACTCTCATCTCTACCAGCAACAAAAGCTAATGTCGACACAAGCTCCGGCAATTTTTTCTCCACCAGAGCCACTCCATACCATAGTCTATTGTCTTCCACCCATATGCAATCCGGTATTCGATCACCATCTTTCACCCTTATCACCGCCTTCTCAGAGACTGTACACAGATCTGCCTATGCTTTCAAAGAACACCCCCACCCCACTGGGCCACCCCCCGCTCCCTCATCCCCTGCGGCTTCAAATAAACTGACACCACAAATGCAGCGGCATAAATAAGTATCTGCCGTTCTGTCCTCTCCCTCAAGATGCCAGAGCATCCCATCCCAAACATCCAATCTCAGGTTCGCCTCTCCCTGTTCTATCTTCCCCTCCATCACAACCCTAACAGCTGCTTGACCAGACGATAGCCGGAACAACATCAGATGGTGTAGAAATGGAGAAACCCCAGCTCAACCAACCACCTCCCAGATCCTCTCTGCCCATTGTCCGATTTTTTCTGGACTACACAACTATTTGTTGAACTTACCCACCTAGCAACTTTGAAAGAACTCCTTGAGCTTCCTCAATCCCTTATCATCACCCTTGAAACATGCCCCTCTCATCGCCGGCAACACTGTAGTTCCCCCATTGATCGAAAGTCGAGGTAACTTGCCACTTCCAGATATGATCTGGTCCTTTCCGCTTGGTTCAGATAAATAATAACGCCATAGTAATGGAACCAAAAATAAATTTTATTTACTTTTTGTCTCTGGTTGATGCATTTTGATACTGTGGCCAATTTCAAGTTTAATCTGAAACAGCATCACTTCATAACATACTGGATATCTCTTTCTGAAGCCCAAATTTTGTTTTCAATGTGATAATGAAAGATTTGTTTTTGGTTTTCCTTTAGGTTTGATTTCAGGATTCTTACAATTTTAGCACGCAAGAGTAACTGAACTTCACACTTGGAGCATATAATTTCATTTTTTTTAAAAAAATTGTTATTTCATTTAATTATGTGTGATTAAATATGAGATATATACTATTTGATAATAAATCCATAATGGTAAGGACAATACTTGCCTAAGGCCATATCAGTAGGAACTTCCTCCTATAGGTGACGTGGCCCAACCAAAATATGACCCTATGACCCATCCCAAAGTTAAAAATTGAATCAAACCCATTTTAAGTGGTTAAAACGGGTCTCAATCTCTCTATCCCTTTGAATAATTGTGATTCTCTCTCTTCTCACTCTTCCTCTATCTCCATAAATTCTGCAACTCCTCAATCCTTCTCATCATACTCCCATCTCCTTCACCACAAGCTTGCATGCCGCCCCCATCTCGACAACCAAGGTTATGGGGGTTGCCCTACTCATAATCTCCCTCTCTTGCCCACCCCCATGGATTTGGGCTTAACCCTAATTCTCGGACTCCGGCAAATAGCGAGAGAAAGGGATTATTGGACTGATTTAATTCGAAATATTTGGCGACTTTTGACTATGGTAGTGAGCAAATTGAGGTTGAACAGTGGCGTGACTCAGACGATGGCCTTTTAGATTCCCCCAATCGAACAAGAGGTGTATATAAAATATATATATATATATATATATATGTATGTATGTATGTATGTATGTATGTATGTATGTATGGGATATGGAGATCTGCTGGTGTATATATACATATATATATGTGTGTGTGTGTGTGTGGGAAATGGAGATTGGTGGTGCATGTATACATTTATATTTATTTACATGTTTACACACACGCGCGCGCGCGAGGAATGAACATGAAGATGTAGATGGAGATTCGTTGGGGAGGGAGGGAGAGAGCGAAATCTGAAAATGGGTTCTTGAGACCCAGTTAACCTGTTAAAAATGGGTTTGATCCACATCTTTAGTTTTTTAATATTTTATTTTATATTTGGTCATGTGTCAATATTTGGTTGGGCCACGTCACCTATCAGAAGGAAGATGAGGAGCGCTCTTCCAAATCCCTCCAAAAGGCCTGTGGTTGTTGATAGATTTTTTATTTTATTTTTATTTCCATAAGAAACTTATTATGGGATAAATGATGTTAGGGGGAAAACTTATATTTAAGGAAACAAAAAGAAATGAATCTTGTATTCTTATAACAGGAGACCAAAACACAGTCCAATTTTCTCCAGTATCATTTGAAATCGAGACCAGTAACAGACTTTCACATTGAAAGATTTATTAAGCAGCCTTTTTTTTTTTTTGTCTCAAGTAAGCAAATTTTATTAATAACGTGGCACAAAGCCAAACAATTACAAACAAAAATAGTAGATATGGAAACCCTAAACCCACCAAACTAAAAGGAAACAATTACCTCTCCCAGATTTATTAAGCGGCTTTACTTGTATATTCTTTTCCTGTTTTTCATTTCCTTCGATAACAGTTGGATCTGAAATGCAGGTTGCAACAAAGAAGAAAAGCATCGCCGATCAAGTTGGAGTGATCTTACAATCAAAGTTAAAGCAACTGGCTCCGACACCATAGGTTTTGTAAGATTTAGTACATCAAATTGAATTTGGAAGCCTTATGTTGAAGCACCCGTTGCAAATGTGCAATTCAAGATCTTCCTTTCCTCGAAATAAATGGGTTATAATGCAGTCACAGTATTGTTGTACTTTGATGTGTGAAGCCTTGTGAAAGTGTAGATGGTGTGTTAGAACTCGGATTTTTGTGTTGTCCGTTAAAGGTTTTGTAGTTCTTGAAGGATACCTTTCTATTGTTCTCTTAGCACGGATTATATAAAAAGAGACATTGTGATTTCTGCAACTGATTTCCCTGGACACCAACTGTAATACCCTGTAAATAAATATTATATATATATATATATATATATATATATATATATATTTCCTAAATGAAGAAAATTTTATAAACATATAACAATATAGTACAAACGAGGAAGTGAGATAAAATCAAACACACCCATAGAAGAGTAGAGAAGTGCAGACAACCCTGCTACAACCCTATACTCCTATCTAACCTAAAGCATCTTGAAGGCAAACCCCTGCAATATCTAAAACACCAGACAATACATTTCAATAAAATTAGAAGGGGTCCTAGCTATATCATTGTGTAGTCTTCCATTCCTTTCATTCCATAAATACTACACAGCAGCTGTAAAAACCATCTTGTACACCTTATTCCTCTAAGATTTAACATGAAATTGCAGCCCCATATCAGTAGCAAAAGTTCCAAATACTATTATGTTTCTGAACTGTCCAAGGAAACAAATCAGCCAAACCACACCAGACTTCCCAAGAATACACACAAGTAACAAACATGTGATCCACATGTTCCTCATTTCTGCCACAAAAACAGCAGGTAGAAGCTAAAGAATTACCTCGCCTATGCAAATTTGCACCAGTCAAGACAGCGTTTTGTAAGATCAAAGCACAATAAACTGACCATCGAGGTCTACCTACATTCCAAACCAGAGCACACCATTGAACCTCAGGTTTTGCAACCCTACAAAACTCCCAAGCATCTTTAAAAGTAAATGGCTTGTGATTCCACAAAATCTGATCCTCACCACCATAAATCCTGTTCAGCTGCATACACTGTTGGATTTCAAAAGGAATACCATCAACCTTCCACTGAAAATTTTCAATAAAACTGCTTAAGGCTATTTGCTTGTTAGTAGAGACCAATCTCAAGGGTTTTATAACTGAATATATCAGTTAAGAACTGACCCCCACACCATGGATACAAAAAAGTTTTAATGTGTTGTCCATTACCAATGTGATAAGAACAATGATCTTCCGATATCCCTTTAACTGCTACAATACCCTTCCAAATGACTGAATGAATCTCTTTAGGTACCACAAACCAATACACACACACACAATACCCTTCCAAATGGCTGAATGAGTCTCTTTAGGTACCACAAAATGGCTACCCTTCCAAATGGCTGAATGAGTCTCTTTAGGTACCACAAACCAATATATATATATATATATATATATATATATATATATATATATGGACACATATTATTATATAGGCATTATCCTTATTTAAAAATTAGATAAGTGATTGTATTTAAAAAGAGATAGCAGAGTTATCATTTAGTTTATTTTGAAATTTAAAAGAGTTTTTATTGAACTCAACCACCGGATATATACACATATATGTCTACACCTAGTTGTATTTAGTTTAAAAGTAACTTGGTAAAATTGACATACTCAATTTGAGAGCCTCACTATCATTATATACAAGAGGAAAATTACAAATATGGAAAGAGAATAAAATCAAATCAGAATAAAGAGAATAAAATCCCTAAACATTAGCCAATAATGAAGACCCAACAAATCTGCCACAATCATTAAGTTAACATATAGATATGATTTCCAACACTCCCCTTCAAGCTGGAGTAAATATGTTGACCAAGCCCAGCTTGACTATGGAAGACTGGAGAAGAGAAGGCCCAATAGACTTTGTGAACACATCTGCAGTCTGTTTTGAAGAGGAAACAAAATAGGATTAATGATACCTGATCGAACCTTCTCTCGAATAAAGTGAGTGTCTACCTTAATATGTTACGACCTTTCATGTAAGACATAATCGGAAGCAAGCATGTAATACCCCTAATTTTAAAAGGATATTCCTGGTATTTAATTTATTATTTATTTGCATTTTGTTTGATTTATTTGTATTTATTTGCATTAATAGTTATTATTTGATTTATTTGATAATTATTTGCATTATTTGGATTAATTTTATAGTTTAGTTTTCGGTGAATTAACAATTTTAAATAATTAATTTTGTAGCAGACTTAGTTGGTAACATATATAGTTTCATTTGGATTAATTTTGTAGTTTAGTTTTCGGTGAATTAATAGTTTTAAATAATTAATTTTGTAGCAGACTTAGTTGGTAACATATATAGTTTCATGAGCCGACTAGGATTGGAAAAAGGGCATAGTCTCTAATTATTCATGGACTAGGGTTATTGATTTACACCTATAAATATAAGCTATACGGTGGTTCAGGGTTTTAGTAAAATAAGCAAACTTCTGAAGGAAACAGAGAAATAGAAGTAAGAGGAGGCTAGACAGTAACTCAGTGTTCCCGGAACAGTGGACACGACGCCGGGATTTCATAACTGAAATCACAGGCAAGTTCTTTTCTTCCTCTTTCCCTTTGGCTTGTGTTCTGTGCACCTAGGTAGACTTTAGGGTTTAATTAATCATGAACTGAGTTTTACAGTTATATTAGATGCTATATTTATGCTTTGTATGTGTTGAAATCTGTTAAAGTATAGTTCGTGCATGTCTGATTTAAATTGTGTTCATAAAGCATGTTTAGTTTGTAGAACTTGTAATCTCTGTATTGGATTTCAACTGCTGTAAACACACCATGGGGATTGTACTGGACCTAGTTAAGATTCTTAGGAATAGTTTAAAACCAGATAGAAAGGGTTAGAAGCGGCCGGCGTTGAAGAAGAAGGTCGTAGAAAGCGCAGACGCAAGAGACGGCTCTCAGAGAGGGAGAGAGTCGGCTCCAGGAGGAGGGAGCCGGCTCCCCCCCATTGTAGAGCAGGCTCTAGGAGAGGTAGGGCCGGATCTACCTACCTAGAGAAGGCTCCAAGAATTTGGAGCCCGCTCTTTTGTTTTCTGGAGCCTGCTCTACAAGTTTTAGAGCATGCTCTCCCACGGGAGTTGTTTCTGAAATTTTCTGGGCAGTGTTTGGATGGTTTAATGTTTCCTAAACTGCTTTGTGAGTGTACTGAGGTTCCTAAGTGAAGTTTTAAGAGTTATTAAAATCTCTTATTGCATGGAACAGTATAAAAGTAAACAATTTAGCATACGGTTAATGGATGGGAGGAACTGAATTGTTTAATTTAATTTTAACAATTTGTGGGATTATAGCATGAATATAAATCTTGTTTAAAATGCATGATTTTTATATTTGACTTTGATCATCTCTTATCTGTGAAAACGTATTTGCAATAGCTCTGTCATGTGTGTTTTTCTCGTCTCTGTTTCGGCATAAAACGTCTCACTGTTTTAAGTTTGTTTTGAAACTCATTGAAACAAAACAAGGTCTGAATTAATACTAAATGTAATTTAAGACCTTTAAGATCAATTTAGAAGAAGAACAGTAAGGTCGGATGTTGCCGGAGATGAAGCAGAAGACGTGTAGTAGGGAAAAGAGAAGGCTCTGAAATTAGAAAGAGAAGGCTCTATGGAAAGGAGAAGGCTTTGGATTTAGAAAGAGAAGGCTCCATGTCAAAAGAAAGGGCTCTTTGTTTTAAAAGAGAAGGCTCCAGGCTAGAAGAGCCTGCTCTCCAAGAATTAGAGCAGGCTTTCTCTTCAATTTTGATATTCTGTGTTTTTTTGTTACGAGCTATTGTTACTGTTGGAGCATGGGAATTATTCTGGGACTTTACAGAGTGATTAAGAATTAATGTAGGGTGTTAATAGGACCTTTAATTGGTTAAAGTTTACCTCTGAATTAACAGAACAAACCGTATAAAATCTATGCATCTTGTATACGGTTAACGGATGGAAGAAAACTTAAATTGCCTAAGCTTAATTTTGGCAATCCAGTGGGATCTAACATGTTTATAACACTTATTTTAAATGCATGATAGGGTCATCTATGTATTTGTTTTGATCTATTCATGTTTTGGGACGCTAATTGTCGAAATATTAAACCTTTTCTGTAATTACTTGGATTATTGTTGGATTGAAATTGCTAGAATAATGAAACGTTTTCTGCAATTATTTGGATAATGGTTTGGACTATAAATTACTAAATTATGATTTATATATTGTAATTTACATGGATATGGAGGATTGTATGCACTGGTATGAGGCGGTGGCATATTAGGGACGGTTTAACTTCAAAATGATAAGACCTATCGGATTAACGGAATGGATTATAAACTATTGAATCCTAAATTTGTGTTTAAGTCAGATCAACTAACTAAGTTGAGTGACTTCCTAGATTAGTTGGTTGTAGTTAAGTCATATCAGCTGAATAAGTTGAGTGACTATCTGGACTGCATTTTGTATGTCTCCTCAATGAATAATTGAATGACATACTTTGGTTTTGGACGGACTTTAGATATATGACTATGGTACCACGAGATGAGCTTGAGTCTCAGACTCGTTGGTTAGGGTGCGTATATGCAGTGGATGAGTAGCTGGATATAGTAGGTAGGTATACCCTGTTAGGTCTAGGTACTCATGCCCACCTTTGGGTGCGTTTTCGCATGATGCCTTCTATTTATGTTGAGACCCCTATTGTAGTCCAGTGAATGTCCTTAGTGTGGATATATATATACTTATGGACTAAATAGATATTGTGAGGTATCTAGGGTGTATCTGTCTATCGGGTCTCTGTATGGATTGCAGTTAGATTAGAACTTATTCGTGGGCCTGACCCACTATTATTTTTCGGGTAACAGACGGTTCTAGGTTGTAGAGCTTGTTCGTGCTGAGCGAAGACAGTTACTCATTCTTCCGACGATGTAGGAGTTTTCTTCATGGTTTAGCATTGGAGTTCTTTAGTTGTTATTTTCCAGTGTTGGAGTTTATTAGGGGTCCACCAGATGGATTCCCGAGTTTTATTAAAAATGGAAAAGTTGGATGTATCAGAATAATTCTTTATCTATAAAATTTTATTTTGAGGTTTCAGTTTTTGGATTATCATTCGTGTTTCTTTTCAGCAATTTTATTTATTCCTGTTTATCTTAATTGTATTCTGTGTTCATTTATTGCTAATTGGTTTGATATCCTCGGGTAATTGGGCGTGGGCCTGGCC